TTTTTTGAGAATATTTTGTTTTGTTTTTAGTGCATTTTGTTTTGTTTTTCGTGTATTTTGTTTGGAAGTCGGTTTTGTTTTTTTATTATTTTGGATACCAGTAGTTTATGAGTTTACTCCATTTATCTGCTCCGCGTAAAGTGTGGAAAGAAGCATGTTAAACATGAAGAAATCTGACAAAGTGAAATGTACTGTAATCGCGAAAAAAACTAGACTAACTAACATCATCACAACAATAAAACGACTCAAATGGAGATGGACGGGACACACTTTACGCGGAGCAGATAAGTCAAAAATAGGATAAATTAATTTATGTCTGTTGTAGGGTTTTTTGAGAAAGTTCGTCAAAAGTTCAATAGACGGGAATGCGCCAATCTCATTAGTTGGAGGAGGTACATGTGGCAGAAGAAAGGTGTTGCATGCAGAACTGATCGTTGAGGGAGAGGCGACTAAAACTGGTGACTGGCCATGGCACGTCGCCATATACAGACTTTATAAGAGAGAAATCAAATACATCTGTGGTGGAACTTTACTTTCCAAGAACTTTGTATTGACTGGTAAGAATGATGACTAAGTTAATAATTACAATAACAGGGAAATACCATAATCTTTGAGCATCGCAAACTGTTTGCGCGATTGTCGATTGTTTCGCAGCCGATTCAACTGTTTAGTTGCACAACTAAAAACAAGTAGTGCGTGCTCCTTTATATGGAGGAGATATTTCCTATGGGAAAGCGAGACTAAACATTTGTGCTATAGTTTAGTTTGGTGTGCGCACGCTCTAAGCGTAAGTAGAACTATTCTGCGCTTCTGATTAGCGTGGGAAACTAAAAAACTAGACTTACTGACAAAGAGTTATAAAATTATACTCTAAATAAAGATGTTAATGTATGTTTTATCAGAAATACTGATGATGGTCCAGATCTTGGGCCTATAACCTATGCTTAACTGTAAGATTTTAATGTTATAATTGAAATTCTTGCAGGAGTTATTGATTGTGTAATGTTTTAGCCGCACATTGCGCTTCAGTCAGAGGCCAGACAGTGATCCCGGAGACGTTGAATGTAGTGCTTGGTAAACACAACCTCGTCGGAGGCGATGTCGCGGTGCAAGAGAAAGAAGTAAGATTTACAACTCTTTACAATAATGAAAGAACATGGCAAGGGTTTAAGCACTAGACTTGTAATCTGACGGTAACTAGATGTTCTTACGTTGAAGGAAAAGATATGTATGTATGTGTGAAGTCAACCCGCAGTGTAGCGTGGTTGACTATGGGCTAGTTAATCCTATCATGGGGAGGCTCCGAGCCCCTTAAGCAAAAGCGGTTCTGTGGCGTGCCACACAATGGCCAGGAGGGAACGAAGGGGTTTAGTGAGGTTATGCCCCCCACTATGAGGGGAAAGTCCCACATTACTCTCGGGTCTGCCCCGAGGCATGGAGTATGCGTAATGCATTCCCCTTCGGAAAAAAAGGCTCCGAGCCCCTCAGTGAGGACGTATACATATAACAATTATATATCGGTTTCGCGCAATTTCTATATTTATGTAAATTGATACTAAATAGAAACAGACGGTTATTTTGTTATACGTTTTGTTGGCATTATATTCATTTTTGCTGCTAAAATTACCGTTATTTTGACTCATAAACAATCAAAAAGTAATAAATAAATGTGCCTTAAATGTTCTTGTTGCCACACTGAAAAATAATCTTATGAAATGCTTTCTTACTCCCGGTTTTGCTTGTTTTTTCTTCTTTAATTCCAACAACTTACGTATATCCATGCTAAATTTGTTACCATTTGCAGGTTTTCAGTGTAATATTACACGAACATTTCAAATACCAAATCAGTTTGGACAACGACATCGCATTGCTCAAGTTAAGGACTGAAGTCACATTTACTGATTACGTTCAGCCTGCTTGTTTATGGTCTGAGGAAGCACATGAAAGATATCCGATTAAAGAAATATTTGGCACTGTAAGTTGTATTTCTAGACTAGCATTCGCTCGCGACTATGTCCGCGTGATATTAATACAAGTATCCTATATGTTCTTCCAGAGTATCCTCTACATGTATGCCAAATTTCATTAAGATCCGTTCAGCAGTCTAGGCTACAAACTCTAACAAACATCCATCTTTCCATCTAAACTTTCACATTTATAATATTAGTATGATTTTAGAATTGCCTTTCTTACCTCCACATTGCTTATGAAGTTGACAAAAGACTGATGTATGCACATTTGTTCAACGAGAAATTCATTTGCGTGTTGTTTTGAGATCTTTGACTCGGACTCAAAACTGTCAACAAATGGAAATAACCAAAATCAAGACAAGCTTGTATAAGACATATGAGCTGTCCACGCTATTATTCTAATATTTTTAATTCAATTTCAACACCTTTTCCGTTAGTTAAAGCTCAACCCATCCGATGTAGGCATAACTATGTCAATATTGGCTGAGCCAGCATCTGAAGTGGCTGTACAATTATGCCAGCTCGTTTCTTAAAGTCTAAGAGCAGCACTATGGAATTGACATGTCTTTCCCAAGATAAAAATCCCCCTTTACCTAAGATTTAAAAAAAAATTCAAGAGCCATATAAAGGCCAAATTAGAGTATGCAGTTTCGGACGAAGATTTCAAAATGGCGTTTACATATCTTGAACTTTTAAAGATTAAAACCTTCGAGATATTCAGAGTAATGTGATCTCATCTTTATTGAAATGAAGGCTTAATTTGAAATGTGTGTTTTCTATTGCAGGTGGTAGGATGGGGTTTCGATCAATCAAACGAATTATCGACTCAACTCCGGCAAGCTACAATGCCTATAATACAAGAACAGAAATGCTATAAAAGCAATCCGTTATTCTACTCAAAGGTTTTGAACGATAATAAATTCTGTGCAGGCTGGGGTAACGGTAAGTTTCCATTGTTTAAATACTTTTTTCCAGTGGTAGAGCCCGCTTTAACATCTTCGCACGAAGGGGTCGGCTCGCCCGGTGTATTACCACGACCACACAGAAGACAGGCGTGAAGTGGGATCAATTCCGCGTTTCGTCTGATGAGTGTTGTGCTGGAGGCCTAATTTAAGTCCCTTTCTCTTTACCATACTTTTCTTATAAGGACAGGATGGGAAGAGGAATGGATTTGACGGTGGAGGAGATGCATAGGAAGGGAAAATGTTCTCTTTATGTGCGTCTCCTCTTCCGTCGGATAAGGGTAGGCAACGCATCTGCAATTGCAGATGTTATGGGCAGCGGTCGCTTTCCATTTTGGCGGATTCAGGTGACCGCTTGCTCATTTGCCACCTTATGTTATAAAAAAAATGTTTAAGCAATAGTTGTACTTTGAGTTCCGAGATATCAATTGATTTGAATTAATTCTGTAGCTGTTTTACTTTTGATTTAATTTCTATTTTCATGACTTTAAAGTGGATAATGACCGATGTTACGCGGTGTAACAAGTTACACAAATATTCATACCATTATACTGTTACAAGGAAACTAACAAACCGCTGCCATGACATGCCTCGTAATGTCGACATCTTACTAATATTATAAATGTGAAAGTTTAGATTAATGTTTATAAGAGCTTGTAGCCTAAACTGAGCGAATCTCAATGAAATTTGATAGAGATGTAGAATACAGGCTAGAAGAACACATAGGCTACTTATGTTCTTTTTCTACGCGTACGTAGTAGCGGGCTAAAGCAAGTAGCCTTAGTTATGGACTTGTCTATAATCTGTGAATATATTCTAGGTACATCTGCGTGTAATGGGGACAGTGGTGGAGGTTTCTTCGTCTTCACACCTGATGTGCGTCACGACAGCGCACCTAATTCATCAGGAGCATGGTTCCTTAAGGGTATAGTTTCTTTAACCGTGTCCAAGAGAGAAGCAAGGATATGTGATCCAACACAGTATGTAGTGTTCACAGACGTACCTAAATACAGAGAATGGATAGAGAAATATGTACAATAGTTTTAAATTTTAGTATAGGTTGAGAAAAAAATCATTAGTATTTGTGCAACGCAAGGGGGCAGGGGGCAACTGCGTCTCTCAGACATCAAAAAATAATTTTTACTACTAGCCTCCCTAGACATTTGATTATGCCCCCCCCCCATAATATGGCGACGCCCATATCTATTACTATCACAATTATTTATATTTTCAACTAAAGTCTAATGATTTGTGAAAGGAGACAAATAAAACTTACAACCGATTGTGGAATTCTCAAAAGTCTTATACAGTTCCACCACCAGTTCATAATATACCTAGTGAGATTATAAAATAACATAGTATAAAAACCGTTATACACTAATGTGCTATTAAATAGCATAATATAAAACAAGTTAAATTAAAAGCGAGCGCACACATTTGACTAAACAGTTGTGCGATAGATTAGTTAGATGTGCGCGCTCTTACTGTCACAAGCTTCTCAATTAAATGACTCAAAAAGTACTAGTATATACGTTAAACTTTTTTATTCACATTTCTTAAACAGGAAAATGTTTAAATCTCAAAAGAAACTACTAGAGTACAAATGGTAGAGAAACCAGAGTATTTTCATTCGTATATTAAATGCGGTAAAATCAAATCATGTAATTGCTAAGGTTTCAAATATTTGTTTATAAAAAAAATATAATTGTTTGATAAATATTAGAATTTTAAAATGCAAAAAGTGTTGTTTTCTTTGAGACTGTATTAAAATTTATCTAAATAAATATATTTCGATCAATAAATTATATGTTTTTTTTTTATAACATAAGGTGGCAAACAAGCAAGCGGCCACTTGAATCCGCCAAAATGGCGAAGCGACCGCTGCCCATAGACATCCGCAATTGCAGATGCGTTGCCTACCCTTATACGACGGAGGAGACGTACATAAAGAGGATATTTCCCCTTCCTATGCATCTCCTTCACCGTCAAATCCACTTCCCCTTCCCATCCTCTCCTTATAAGAAAAGGGTGATAAAGAGAAATGGACTTAAATTAGGCCTAATTCTAATTAGAAAGATATTAAACCATTTATAAACTTACTGTTTTTGATTTATAGTTATGTTGTTGAATATGTCAGCTTTTAAGGAAAGATCCTGGTCAATAACCTTTCAAAGTTTAAAATTTACTTTTAGTTATTTTATAAATAAAACACCTTTGAGTAAAAACAAGGTCGGTGGCTCAGTGGTTAAAGCACTTGACTTGTAATCTACAGGTCTTGGGTTCGAATCCCACTGTACCAATGTGATTTTCGAATTTTCATATGTACCTAATTTACCCGACGTTCTTACGGTGAAGAAAAACATCGTGATGCCTGCACATATCGGCGAAGAAATTCAAAGATATGTGTGAAGTCAACCAACCCGCACTTGGCCAGCGTGGTTGACTATGGCCTAGTCACCCTAACTTTAGGGTAGGCTCCGAGCCCCTCCGTGGGGACGTATAATGAGCTGGTGATGATGAGTAAAACAATATTAAAATGAACATACCAGCGCTTGTTTCAAAGTTTGGATGGATGTTTTTTAGTAGCCTGTACTGATGAACGAATCTTGATGAAATTTGGCATAGATGTAGAGGAGTAGGTAAAAGCTTAGCAAGACAAGCAACCTTCAGTAATGAAGAAACAAAAAAGAAAAAGAAATAGAGGATAGTATATACTAATATTATAAAGAGGAAAGATTTGTATTTTTGTATGAATTGAAAGAACTCAAAAACTACTGGGCCGTTTATAATATTTCTTTAAACATCAGAAAGGTAATTCATCTGTGAGTAACATAGGCTATATGGGGATGATGTCGCGAGCAATAACTAGTCTGAAATACAAAGACTTACTATTTTTTATGTTGATTCCACGAGGAGTCGCGGGCGAAAGGTAGTATTCTACAATCATACTAATATTATAAATTCCAAAGTTTAATGGATGGATGTTTGTTACAGTTTGTAGCCTAAACGGCTAAACAGATTTCGATGAAATTTGTTATAGACGTAGAGAATAGTCTGGAAGAACACATAGCCTACTCACTTTTGTTTTTTTTAATCCACGCGGACGGAGTCGCGAGCGAAAGCTAGTTTATTACTAAATTAGACTAAGTTCTATAGACAACTAGAGAAATCTAAAAGCGAAAGGTAAGCATGGTATTGACATGTAAGAAGGGAATCTCGTGGGATAAGAACTTAGGTTAGTATGGAGAAACACCGGTAGAGGTCGACCTTGAAAGAGATAGACTGAGTGACAGATGACATCAAGAAGGGAATAACTGAGATAGCAGATAATAGACTAGAAATCGAATTAAAGTAATTGCTTAGACCACAAATCTACCTGTTTAAGGTTTCAATGCATTCTTAACGTATTTTTTTTCATTTAATTACTGTAATGGTAAAATAAAAGGGGATTTTTTTCTTGAAACCAACATCATGAGATAAATATTTTTTTGTTAATTACAAACTGGCTTGGCATTTGCCAGTCACATTCCTGTTTACGATCTGGTTTGAAACAAGTGTATTATGAGGAAAATAATAAAGATTAATAATGTAGAGGTTATAAATGAATTCATATTTAGCATTTAACAGAAAACACTTAAGTAATTTTAGTCTTACTAATATTATGAAAGAGATGGCTAGATTACGTGAAAGGTGACATGATCAAAAAGGTGATGACTGAGATGACGTATGATAGAGTTATTTTTTTTTATAACATAAGGTGGCAAACGAGCAAGTGGCCACCCGAAACCGCCAAAATAGCGAAGCGACCGCAGCCCATAGACATCCGCAATTGCAGATGCGTTGCTTACCCTTATACGACGGAGGAGGAGACGCACATAAAGAGGATATTTCCCCTTCCTATGCATCTCCTCCACCGTCAAATCCACCTCCTCTTCCCAACATCTCGTTATAAGAAAAGGGTGGCAAAGAGAAAGGGACTTAAATTAGGCCTCCGGCACCACACTCATCAGACAAAACACGGAATTGCTTCCATTTCACGCCTGTCGTCTGTGTGATCGTGGTATTACACCGGGCGTGCCGGCCCATTCGTGCTAAGATGTTAAAGCGGGCACTACCACTGTGTAAGAGTTATTTGAAGGACAATAACGAGTTGCGGTCCTACGGGAGTAGGATGATGATGACTTCTTACTAATATAAATGCGAAAGTATACGTGGATGGATGTTTGCTAGAGTTTGCCGCTTAAACTGCAGATAGCATCGATGAAGTTTGGCATAAATGTAGAGCATTGTCTGGAAGAACACATAGTCTACTTACTTTTTTATTCAGACGAAGTTGTTACGAAAGCTAGTGTTTCATAATACTCTTTAGTAATACATGTTACATTTAATCTATTTAAACTAAATTGTCGATATTTCAGAATCTACAGAAATCATTCATGTCTCTGAGTATGTCAGTTATTTTATTACTACTAGCTTTTGCCCGTAATTTCGTCTGCGCGGAATTAAAAAATCTCATGAATTTACTCATTGATAAAGTAGTTTTTTAGTGGTGAAACAATTTTTGAAATCGTCCCTATTCGTTTTTAACTTCGTTACATACAAAAAAACAAACCTTTTCACTTTAAAACAATAGTATAGATTAGGCAAAAGTCACTGTAAAATGTTTGACATTAGCTAATTTTAGCAAGTGAAAAAGGAACTCCACTAGTTATTACAAAGTTTAAACGTGCTAATAACATGATTATTACTATCATATTTTCGCTCTACTATTATACAATTAATTTATTTATAGAAATATATGTAAGCTCATGATGCAGATAATCTTTGACTCTTTGTACTGACACAGATAAATACAGTTATTACAGGACTGAGGGCATAGCACGATAGTTAACAAGTATTTATAACGATATCGCCAACCGCTATTACCGGTTGTGCGCCAAAATGGCGAAAACAAACGGGCACTAAATACCATGGCTTGTAAACTGTTGGGTGTTGATAAACTTTGTTTTCACAGTTATAATATTTTTTAAACTGCAATGGTTCTTGATATTGCTATTGCTATTAATTTTGTTCAGGGAAATTTGCTTGTACTCTTCAAAAGTTTCTTTATCTTTTCAATTAGTATTACTTACATAGTAGTTGATTGCATCAGAAAAAAGTGTAGTTTTAAATAGAATTGTAATAGAAAGATAAGTTTTCTCATAATAATTTAATCTTAATAATAACCTCTACAGGTAATAGGGAAAACAAAGTGTATGCAACTGGTTTTTACGCGTCATCAACACATCTGTCATGTCGCAGACAATGTGAAGAGTAGCAACATGGAAAATGCACCAAAAATCAGAAATTCATACTTTAGAATACGTTCCAAATCTTTTTTTGTATAGTTAAATTATTTTTTTATATCGTAAGATGGAAAACGAGCTTCGGCCACCTGAATTCGTTGCGATAGAGAAGCGGAATGCGTTGCCTTCTTTTAATTCTAAATTGAAACAAAAATAAAACGCTCTTTTAAAAAATAACATTACTTCTTCTATACTATTATAATAAAGCGTAAACACACAATTTGTTGCCTAAGATCTCAGCAATTACAGCATATTTTTGAATAATTCTTTTTTTAATAAAAATCCATACACTTACGTCACGCTTCAGGCTATATATTTTCACGCCATTAAACTTAGGGGGCAAATATTTTGCATAAAAACCCTAATGTGGAAAAGAGACCATAAGTTGCTGCCAACATTAAGAAAGCAAGATTGCTAATATTTGTCATGTAATGTCATTTTGACATTTGCTATTGATAATTTGACAAAAGTCAGTAATAAAATAAAATTTTCATAATAGCACGCGAACGGAGTCGCGGGCGAAAGCTAGTAGTTAATAAAACACAACAGATTAACCAAAACTTTATTTTTTTAATGTGCAAAAGTGAATCTGACATTTTAAATACTGACAGATTCAGCGATTTTTAAGCCACAATGGATTACACTTCATCGGAATCACCTTCAATACTCCACGAGATCTTGTAGACATAACCGTGTATAAACAACTCCGAAATTTCATATAATGAAATTTATTATTAAAACTGCATTATTATTTTTAACTTTATTTAGTGTTCAATGTGAGGATGGGTGGGCGTTGGTCGGGAACCCGCTTTTACATGCATACCCTTGTAATAATGTTACTGATATAACTACGTCTTTCGAACCGGGCAGACCTCCGGGTGAAGAGAACCAATACAATGTATTTGTTGGTAAAAGTGTTCCAAAATATACGAAAATTAAATTGAAATTTGACACCGAAGCTGTTGTTACCCTTGTAAGTATGTTCATATTAATACTTACTTACTTATTATACTAATATTATAAATGCGAAAGTTTAGATGGATGGATGTTGTTAGAGTTTTCACACAAACCCCACTTTCAACGTTATTACTCGTGTTCGGTATGAATAATGCTTCTTCAAGGGAAACAGTGACAACACAGACACATAAAATAAAAAACAAAAAAATGGAGATGTATTAAGAGAACTGTGATAACAATAAAAAAGAAATGGGTAGCTAATCGTGGTTAAAAAATCGATTAGTGAAACTACTGAGGGATTTACAATCAAGATATCGTTATTCTAATTAAACAAAACGTAGACAAGATATATAAAACAAGGAAAATAATCTTGTAAAAGGAAAACATTCTATAGTCCAATTACAATGTAAAGAACGTACATGATTACTAATGTTACACTCATAGTCATCATTCTACCTTAGTGTAGTAATAAGAAATCTTAGTTGGGACACTCCCTTCTGTGTCGCAGTTTGCGTTTTATCATCTCTAAAAGAATTTACATTCTATTGTATGGAAAATGGTAATAAATATTTAATTCATATTAACGCGTACACCTTGGACTAAACTATCGCACAACTGTTTAGTCGCGCTTTGATTCATATGAGCTTATATGGAGGTATACTTCTCGATTTTCAGTTGTGCGAAACAGTTGAGTTGGCTGCGAAACAATCGACAATCGCACATTTGTTCGATAGTTTAGATAAAGCGCCTGTTCTATTCTGTTTAATATTTCTTTCAGTATGACTCAGCAAAAGCAAGAATATCTATTCAAGATGACAACGAATTTACCATACATTTCTTCGATAATGCAGAATCCGTCGGATTCACAGTCAAAGGTCCAATCACAGGGACTGTGCCGTATTTTGAGAGCTTAAATATTAATACTGTCGAATATTGTAAGTCGCCAAATAAGGTAAGATATCAAGAAAAATCTCAATTGTGACAAAAGCATAAAGAAATACTTCTAAACTATTACATTTACCATTGGTAGAGTCAGTAACTACACGAATGGTAGACTGCAATACCATGACCACACAGAAGACTAACGTGAAGTGGGAGCAATTGCCCGTACAGTCTAATAAGTGAGGTGCCGTCGGCCTAATTTTAGTCGTTTTCCGCTCGACCCTTTTCTTATATTAAGTGGATTGGAAGAGAAAGATTCGACAGTGGAGACACATAGGACATGAAAAAATTCTTTTAATGTGCGTCTCCTTCTCCGTCGATTAAGGCAATTGCATACAATTACTGATGTTTTATTGGTTGCATGGCTATTTCGGAGGATTCTAAAAACTATAACATTACTATTTCAGGGTTACTTGGATAACCTAATTTTAGGTACAAAAGTATCTGCAGAAAGTCATTTGAAAGTACCAGACGGATCTTGTGGTCGTAGGAAAGTTGTTCACACAGAACTGATTGTTAATGGAGCGGATACGAAGCCAGGAGATTGGCCGTGGCATGCTGCGTTATACAGAGTGAAGAGAAACCTTATAAAATATATATGCGGTGGTACTCTTTTGTCCAAAACCTTCGTGCTTACAGGTAACACATATTTTCTTAGAGCGTTCACACCTTTAACTAAAATATCTCATAACTAGTCTCGCTTTGTTTACTATGAGCTTATGGAGGTGCGCACACTATTCGATTTTTAGTTGACAACTAAACAATTGAATTGGTTGCAAAACAATCGACAATCGCACAATAGTTGTGCGATAGTTTAGTCAAAGGTGTGCGCCCTCTCTAACTATGGTTAGAATGTAATATAGACTGGACTAAAATAGACTTTTGTTTTCGCTTTTTACTAATGTTTGAATTCTTCATTAGTTCTTTAATAGTATCTTCCAAGAATACCACTTATTTTTTTCAACTAACATTTATAAGTAAGTTTTTTTTGTTGTATTTGACGGATCTAGAGGCGCATAAGAAGAGGAAATGTCCTTTTTATGTGCGTCTTCTCTGCCTATTAAGGGTAGGCAACGCATCTGCAAATACAAATGTCTATGGGCAGCGGTCGCTTGTTATTTTCGGCGAATTCCATTGGCTGGTCACTCGTTTGACGCCCTTTCATATTTAAAAAAACTGTGTGCTTTCAAATAAAAATATTACATCAACTGCAAATTAGGCAAATCGTTTTAACATTTAAAAATAGACAAAACAGCATCAATTTAAAAACTTGTTCTGATATTATTTTGATAAATCTATTGAAATGTAACCTCTTGAACGTCATATTTTTTTAGCTGCGCATTGCACGACTGTTAGAGGTCAACCGGTCGTGCCGGAGACTCTAAACGTTGTTTTGGGAAAATATAATCTCGCTGGTGGGGATTATGAAGCTCAAGAAAAAACTGTACGTATACCTTGAATTATCTATACTAACATAAAGAGGAAAGATTTGTATTTTTTATAAAAAAAGGGGGCAAACAAGCGGCGTGAACATCAAGGTAGTCAACGACGCCCACATCCGCAACACCAGAGGAACTACAGATGCGTTGCATTTTTACATGTATTGAAACAACTCAAAAACTACTGGGCAGATTTTAAAAATTCTTTCACCATTTAAAAGCTAAGTTATCGCTGAGTAACATAGGATATATTTTTAGTTCACGCGGACGAAGTCGCGAGCAACAGCTAGTCATCAATATAACGTTAAGAGTAACGACTCGACTAATAAAACAATGGTAGTTCTAAGATCGCTGGCAGAGCTTACGTCCAAAAAAAACAAATTATAATATTGCTTATGACATTAGAACATACCGACGATTATTGTTATTAACTATATCTTTTGCTCGTGACTGCGTCCGCGTGGAATTAAATAAAAACAAAAGCGAATAGCCTATATTTTCTTCCACTTTATCCTCTACATGACAAATTTCATTGAGATCCGTTCAGCAGTTTAGGCTACTCTACCAAACATCCATCTAATCTTTCGCATTTATAATATTAATAACTCGTGAAAGCTATGAAAAACTATTAAAACATTTGGATTTGGCTCACGAGATTACCGCCATGTGGCGTATGAAATCGACTACCATTATTCCGATAGTCGTTTCCGTACGCGGGCTAATATCGAAGAGCTTCGACCAACACCTCAAGAAGCTCTCGGTAGACAGTTGGATTAGGGGCCCGATTCAAAAGGCGGTTATTTTAGAAAAAGCACGAATAGTGAGGAGGTTCCTGTCTCTGTAGCCCTGACCACTGGTTACTTGAGTCATCGGATTCCGCAGCCGGTGGTGCTCTATTTTTTATATAATATATTTTATTTTATTTTTATATCAAATCTTGTAAAATGTATTATATAAAGAATAAGAAATAAAGATATATGGAATTGAAATATTAATAATATTCACAGGTGCAAGAAATTATAGTTCACGATAGTTTTGATGGAAAACAATTAGACAATGACATAGCTTTATTAAAGCTAAGCTCAGAAGTATTATTCGGTGACTATATACAGCCAGCTTGCTTGTGGTTCCCCACGGCGGTTGATAAACTACCCAATAGAGGAAATATCGTAGGCACAGTAAGTACAAAAATAAAATTATTTATAGTTTCTGTTTGATTAGGCAACTGATATCTTAGTATTGTTCAAAACATGAAAAGACTAACAATATTCAATAGACAGAAAGTATGTTAAAACTATAATAAATTAGGTATCCCATGTGTTCTTCCACACTATCCTCTACATCCATGCTAAACATCGTGATCCGTTCAGCCGTTTAGGCTACAAACTCTAACAAACATCCATCCATCTAAACTTTCGCATTTATAATATTAGTACGATTTATTTTTCTTATCGACCTTCTTCGCCAAGTGTGATGATG